GATGATGAACTGAGAGTAGTGACTCCAGCCAGTTGTTTACACCTCAAATCAACTGAAAGATCTGGTTTAACTCTGACTTGTGGGACAGATGCTGAGAAAAGGAAACAGGTCCCAGAGTAAACCCACTTTGATGTGGGTGCTGCAAGGACTAACTCTCAGACACATCTGAGCTATTCATGTTCTAAGCACAGTGGGGCACACGCAATGGCAGAGATCTGTTTAGGAGTCTGAAAATGGGGGGGGGGGGTTGCTGGAGAGATGGGTCAGTGGTCAAGAGCACTGGCTATTCTTGCAGAGGATCTGAGTTTGATTCCCAGCATCCACATGGAGACTAACAACCTTCCTGAACTCTGATGCTATTTCTGTCCTCTGTGGGCATTGCAGGCCACTGGTGCACTTAGGTACATGTCAGTAATGAACTCATACACATAAAATAATAAATAAGGTATTTTAACTAAGAGTATGTGCAAAAGGAAATGTTAAAAATAATCATTGCTGGGGGAGGGTGAGTCATTTTTCTTCAGGGCTATAGCTATGGTGAGTTGGCTGTGCCCCAATCCATTATTCCCCACCCATGCTCATGAAAGCACACTAATTAAAATTGATGTCATAAAATTAATTAATTAATGTGATATGGAAGTAAGGGGGCCTTATTGGGAATAAGAAAAGTTTAAGCTAAGTGGAAGTGGGAGAGGATAAGAGAGGATTTGGGGGTTGAGTATGGTCATGTACATTATATACATGTAAGATACTGTCAAAGAACATACGTTTTAAAATCTGTAAATTTTTAATTATTTTTTATTTATAGATTTTTTGTGTGTATATTTCATACAGAACATCCCAAATAATCTTACTCATCTTTATACCCACAACCCAAATGGAACCCTCCCATAGCCCCCGACTGAAACCCATATTCTCTGTCATCCCTGTTACTGTCCACTGTGTTATCAGTGCCCCCAGCCACTACCCAGTGCAAGTCCATCCACTGAGTCTAGTCAGCTTTTCTAGAGTTCCTTATTTTAGGAAGATCAGCTCTTCCTCATCTAGCAGCAATCAATTGCCAATGTTCTTTTAGATAAGATTGGGGTCTGCTGTTCATTTTCCCAGTTCTATGCTGGATTACTGTCTGGGAGTCTCTTGGGCCACCTGGCCAATAATTCAAAGGAAGGTATCTCCTGTTTGGCATTGTTTCTTGTTATGTAGCCTTTAGGTATACACATGGACTCTTAGAAATTATCTTGACCCCATTAATCTTTGGTTATACTTTCTATTTGGGTGTTCAAGACCATACAGTTGGCACAGATTAATCAATTTATTTTTACTCTTAAGGTCATTTGAGGATCTGTTCCTCCGGGGTCACATGGGCTTGGGAAGAGTCCATGGCTCCTTTCTTTTACCAGTTCCATCTATATGAACATAAGTCAAAGGTCCTGCTCGACCATGGCTGCCTTCACTTGGAAGCATGAATGGGATGTTTCCTCTGTGTTGACCCTCATCTTTGTAGACTGGACACTGGTTCAAGGGTTCACGTCCATCTCGTGGGGTGTCCATGGCCTCTCTGAACAAGAGGACAGGTGACTCACCACAGTTACAGGACATTTTGAGAGATGTTCCATAGTCCCCTGGAACTCAGTCGACCTTGGAGGGCAAGGGGCAAAAAACTCTCCTTTAAATCCTTCGTACCACATTAATATAGGCCTCAAACTATAGCTGTTAAACATTCAAAAACATTAGTTCCACCAGTCTGGTACTTTTAATTATCACATGCTGTGTAGATAAGGCTTGGTTAAAAGAACAAATATTCTCAGATAAACCTTGACTAGTGTATTAGTCACTTTTCTGTTGCTGTGATAGAAACACTGACCCAAGCAATTTATAAAAGGAAGAATTTATTTGAGCTTATGGTTCCAGGGGAATTACAGTCCATCATGGCAGGGAGGAATGGCCACAGAGGTAGCTGGAGGAGGAGCAGAAGCTATGCTCTACATCTTCCAGGAGGCATAGGAAACAAGAGGGCAACTGGAGATCTGGCAAGGCTTAAGAACTTTCAAAGCTCACCCTTAGTGATGTGCTTCCTCTAGGATAGCCATACCTTCTAAGGCCTCCCAAAACAGTGCCATCATCTGAGGACAAGATGTCCAAATACTTGGAGCCTATGGGGGACATTTTCATTCAAACCACCACAACTAGATATATATTTTGTTCCTTAAACTAGTTGACTAAACTATGACCACAGAAATTTTAAGATTATGTGTATAGTAAGGAGTGCCAGTTAACAGCAAAGGGAAAGGGAACATGTCCTAATGTCAAATGTTAGGTGTCATGTGATAGACTGATGGAATTAAGAGGGAATCAGTGTGGGAGCCGAGTGGAAATGCTAAATAAATCAACCTTCTGTTCAAACCACATCTGCAAACATAACGCACATATTTTCCCACTTACTATGCTACACAATGAAGGATCTGTATACATGACTGAACTTATCTTACCTCAAATATGTTATCACTGGTTTGGTTCATTATACTGAGTAGCTATAACAGCTTTCTAGACAAGTTTATCTTATTTTAATTAATTAAGCTTTACTTTATGTGTATGAGTGTTTGTGCTAGCATTGTGAAAGCCTGCCAAGGTCAGAAGAGGGCATCAAATCCCCTGGAGCTGGAGTTACATGTGGATGTGAGCCACCTGATGTGAGTGCTGGGAACCAAAGTTGGTATTCTGCAAGAGAAGTACATTCTCTTAACTTCTGAGCCAGCTCTCCAGCCTCTCACCTGTTTTGCAAAATGCAAAGGATTTCATGTGATAACAAGAGTTCACATTCCCAGTCATAAACTTTCTGTTCTCTCCTTTTCTGTTTCTTTCTTTTGTAATGTTATGCAGGAGCCTGAACCCTCTTAGAAGAAGAAGGGCTTCTAAGTATGAGGTTAAGTGCTCAACCACTTTAGTATACAACCTAGTCACAAATTTTCTGTACCATAAATTGCAATTCTGCTACAGAAAGCCTCCCTATATTTCAACTTTTCTACTTCCTAACAGGTCTGGATCAAACCTAACGAAGACTGATGGGATTCCACAAAGGTGTAAGGCACAGCGAAGTAATTTCCTTGCACATATTCTACAGTATTCTCCTTCTGATCAGGAAGCTCTGCTTGAGCTCTAACTTGAGGCATGAAGGTACACACTGGTATTCCTAGCACTTGAAAGACAGTGGCAAAAGGATCTTGAGCTCGAGGTCAGTTTGGGCTACACAGCCCCATACACACCACACCCCCCAACATCTCCAGCTTGAATACCAACAGTTTCATTCATTTCCTAGAGATCCCAGCATCCTTCAGTGAGTGGCTGCAATGTATACCCTGCCCTTCCTGGCCACAGCCTGCTACTGTATTGCTCCTCAGCAGAACCTCCCATCACACATACACACTGGTACCTGCTAGCTCAGGACTGCTCTGCGGCTCTGAGTAGCGATTGAGAAGCATCATGAGGATAGTGCGTGTGGTAGGCATGGGTTCTGTCCCCGGTGCTATCCCCGAGTGCCTAAACAAGGTGTCTCTCAACTCTTGGGTTATAATCTGGTCTCCCAGAGTATGGTGGTTACACAAAAGCAGGTTGAGTAGAAGCAGGCCATTTCTCACTGCAGAGGAGCACCTGGGAGGAAGAGGGTGACCCAAGAAGTTGACAGTGAATACCTCAGAGGCAGGGGGAAAAAGTATAGTGTGCCCTGCAGCTGGGCTGGGGAGGGAGATACTACAGGGGTCCCTCTGAGGCAGGACTCTTGACCACCTGATATTGGACCACTACTCCCAATCCCATGAAAGAGTCACATTTCTCTGCCTTCTCTGGAAAACCCCTACCCAAACAACATGGCTTCTCTTCCAGTGACACTCAGAGAGTATTTCCCCAAAGGTGACCGTGTGGGCATAGTTTCTGTGATGCATATGAGCCTGGGGAGAGGAATAGTGGTTTTAGGACATAAGAAGGATCTGGACTGTGGAAGGTAATGCTCTGACCCCTCGGTATTCAGCATCAGGATCACAGCTGCAGGGACGCTGAGGAGCAAGCTCTCAGAGCCTGGGCGTGTTGCTGAGTCAATGCTGGCGAAGATCTCTCTGGTCATTTGGGTATCAAACAAAAGTTGGACAGAATACTGGCCAGTGACAAAAGTGGGGATCTCCTCTTGACCAGTGACAAAAGTGGGGATCTCCGAGGAGCTGGCAATGGCTAGCATCTTCAGCGCCTGCAAGGAGAACATAAAAACCAAGTCAGGGGTGCACAGAGCCACCACAAGAAGTAAGGGAATACAGTACAGTGATAGAGTACCTGACCAGCATGTGCAAGGCCCTGGGTTCAATCCCCAGTACCACCCTCAAAGGAAGTGGGAAGCCAGAGTCATCATTCTAGACCTCAAACTCTGGAGCAGCTAAACTGTTGGCAAAATAAGTAGTGTGACAGATGACAACAGGGTATCAAATTGGGGGAGCAAAGGGGAGGCAAGGGAACAGGAGGGGGAAGGGACAGGAAGAGGGGGGAAGGCAGAGGAGGGGAAAGAAGGGGAAGGGAGAGAGGGGTTCAGGAATTTGGGGTTACTGCAGTGGAGAGGAGGTCAAAAGGAAGACAGAGATGCAAATACAGAGCCACTGAGGGACAAGATGGAGTTAGCCCAGTCAATTGTTCCCTCCTTCAATAGTGCTTTGTCTAATCTGAGCCAGGTTTAAAGAGATTCTCGAAGAATAGAAGGTGTATTGTCTCCTTAGGAGAACAGAAAATCTGGAATGTGAAAAATGGTAACTACCTCTGTTCTTTCACTGTTCAAAGTAAGATAATGGAATAAAAACCAGAGAACATGGAAAATTCTTTGGCATATAACAAAGAACTATTTGGGAACTATATTCATAAATTGATTAAACCAGCAATTTTTAGAGTACTAAGCATGTACTTGTATGAGGAAAAAAGATTAATTTAATTTTGGGGGATGGAGAAATAACTCATGATTAACATCACTGACTGCTCTTACAGAGAACCAGGTTTGGTTCCCAGCACCTACTTGGTGGCTAACAACTGTCAGTAACTCCAATTTCAGGGGATCTGACCCCAATCTTCTGACCTCTGTCAGCACTGAAGCACACGGCCTGGGTATACTTATAGAGATGCAGGAAAAACACTCATATACATAAAATATAGATAACAAATAAATAAAAAGTTAGAAGATTAATACAATTTTGGTGTTTAGTGAATAATTTTATGGTTAAGGAAATACCTTTAAAATGATGACTTAGAAATACACAAACAACAGTCTTAAAAAATGACTTGCAGGCCAGGCGTAGTGGCACATGCCTTTAATCCCAGCACTTGGGAGGCAGAGGCAGGCAGTTCTTTGTGAGTTCAAGGCCACTCTGGTCTACATAATGAGTTCCTGGACAGCTGGGGCTACAGGGAGACCGTCTCAAAAAGACTAAAAGAAAAAAAAAAGTTAAGAGCACTGGCTGCTCTTGCAGAGGACCTGGGTTTGATTCCCAGCACCCACGTGACAGCTAACAACCCTCAGTAACTCCAGTTCCAGGGGATCTGACACCTTCTGGCCTCCATGGGCATTGTACAACACAGGTACATTTACATACATGCAGACAAAACACTCATACACAATAAAGTATAAATATTTAAAAACAGCAGTAGGGCATGGTAGCACGCATCTTTAGTCCCAGCATTTGGGAGGCAGAGGCAGGCTGATCTCTATGAGTTTGAGGCCAGCCTGGTCTACATAGCCAGTTCCAGGACAACTGGGGCTACAGGGAGACCCTGTCTCAAAAAGATCAAAAAAATTTTTAATTACATTTAAATAGTTTAAGTATAGCTCTTTTTTGCCTACTTAGTTTCACATTCTAAAGAACAGCTTCACAGAGAAAGAATTACCTGCTCTAATAAACAGAATCAAGAACTTGGGAATGTGATGGTTCCTAGGCTTGTCAACTTGACGGACCTAGACTCCCTTAGGAAGGAGCATCTAGGCACAAGTGAGAGATTAGAAATAGGTAAGTCTCTGGGCATGTCTGTGAGGGGTTATCTAGATTAGCTCAGCTTTGGTCAGGCCTGTGAGGGATTGTCTAGGTTGGGTTAGCCTTTGGACACTCCTACTAGTGTTATGTAAGTTATGTTAGTGTCTGGGCATGCATGCGAAGTGTATGTATGTTAGGTCATCCTCTAGGCATGTCTGTGAGGGATTATCTTATTCTCTGGCAGTGTCTGTGAGGGGTTATCTAGGTTGGGTTAGCCTCTAAGCACTCCTGTTAGGGTTCTCTAGGTTATGTTAGTGTCTGGGCATGCCTATGTGGAATTATCTAGGTCAGGTTAACTGAGTTTGGAAGACTCACCCTAAGTGTGGGTGGCATCAGGTCATGATCAACCTTTCCAGTCTAAATATAAAAGAGAAAGCAAGCTGAGCATCAGCATCCATCTCTCTCTGCTTCCTGACTGCAGATATGATGGAACCAGTTGCCTCACACTCCCACTGTCATGATGAGCTGTATCCTTTTGAACCGTGAGATGAAATAAACCTTTTCTCCTTTAAGTTGCTTCTTGCCGTGCATTTTTGTCACAGCAAAAGAAAAATAACTAATACAAGCTGCATTTCAGACCTCCGACCTCCAGGCTGTGAGATAATAAAGCTCATAGTGTTGAGCTACTAAGTTTGGGGTAATTTATCACAGCAGCAGTAGAAAACCAAGACACTGCTTTACATAGCACTCACATTTCA